TTGGTTTATTTGGTATCTCTTAAACGTTGAAGCCCGCATCGATAGCCATCGATATCCTTTCAAAAGCTATCGAATAAACATTACAAATTGTACATCATTCGACTATCCTATTTCTCCCTTTTAATTTAAAGAATTGTGAAATTATAGCACAGCAATTTATAACCGGCAATTAACCTTTTATCCTGCAACTACGGGCATAGCCAATGATCGGGCCAAACGTAAATATTACGGGCATAGCCCGTAGTACGATGATCGGGCCAAATATAATATATAATATAATGTAGAAATAGCTTGTTTGCGTTTTCGGCCCAAAATTCTCGAACGTAAATCGTAGGTTAAGGGGTTAACAGCAACTAAAAATTGTCGAAGCAGTGGGAAGACGTGTATTTACAGCGGTTGTATTATTAAAAAATCAAAAATACTTGTGGTGTACATATAACACGTATAATCCCGTAAATCTCCAATCAGTGACTTATGCTACAAATAATCGCCTGGTGACGAATAGGCCCGGTGGGCGTGTGCGTGGGCATCGGTGACATCGAGGCACGTCCGATTCGATTTTCGTCGACGATTCGTTCGAGAAAAACTGCCGCTTCGAACCGATGCTCCCAGTGCGCTTGTCTGTCGTGTCTCAAGAGTCTCGGATGTTTCGAACGTAACGATGATTCCCGAGCGCGGTGTAACTCGAAAATCGGACAACGTGACGCGATACGGAAGAAACGACTGAGATTCCAAAGGTAGGAAGGCATCGTTGTTTGACCCGGCGGAGATCAGCCAATCTCACGAGACTCGAACGATCCGCTATTCTCTTTGGGCAAACAGATCAAAGCGTTTCGAATGCTATCGAACGAGCGAGCGCTGGATTGTTCGGGCTATCGTTCAGCTCGAACTAAGTTGTGTAAATAGAATGCTATCGCTCAAATATAAATAAAGTGAGTTGTTGTTTTGCGAAGCACGGTAGATACGGAAAATTAGAATAAATATTACGGGAAGTATACCGCAAATCGAAGGCACGAAATGAAATTTTATAATTTGTAAAAAGAAAGAGTTTATCGTAATGCTATAAAATTCTTCAATTTCAAACTGTACAAAATTGTAGATGGTTATATTATATTCAGAAACAACTGTTACAGCTAAAAAATTAAAATGTTCAATTATCCAAAGATGAAAAGAAAATCAATTTATATCTTTCTGCGGTTGCTGTCTTGCTTTATAACTGGCTACTATTACAGTGTACAGGGATCTTGCAACGTAAAGGTTAAGCAAGTATGCCTCATTTAAACAGACAGCACTGTACTTTCTTAATCCGTTGAACGCCAACGTTGGGTTAATTGCAACATTCCATTTGTAATTTCTTTTCAATCAACTCACATTATTGGATTCTATCGAATTCACATTCTGATTACGAGAAGAAAATCCGCGTATTTGTGCAAAATTTTGTTCGTTATTTATTATACCTCTCTATATATACAGGGTGGTTGGTAACTGGTGGTACAAGGGGAAAGGGGGTGATTCTACGCGAAAAAAGAAGTCGAAAATATGGAGTAAAAATTTTTCGTTCGAGGCTTTGTTTTCGAGAAAATCGACTTTGAACTTTCGCTCGGTACGCGTGCGGTACGTTATAACGGATCTCACTGTAGATCGTTGTCTCGCTGGAAAAATTAAAAAAAAAAAAGAAAAAAATTTTTATTCTATATTTTCGACTTCTTTTTTCGCGTAGAATCACCCCCTTTCCCCTTGTACCACCAGTTACCAACCACCCTGTATATATAGAGAGGTATAATAAATAACGAACAAAATTTTGCACAAATACGCGGATTTTCTTCTCGTAATCAGAATGTGAATTCGATAGAATCCAATAATGTGAGTTGATTGAAAAGAAATTACAAATGGAATGTTGCAATTAACCCAACGTTGGCGTTCAACGGATTAAGAAAGTACAGTGCTGTCTGTTTAAATGAGGCATACTTGCTTAACCTTTACGTTGCAAGATCCCTGTACACTGTAATAGTAGCCAGTTATAAAGCAAGACAGCAACCGCAGAAAGATATAAATTGATTTTCTTTTCATCTTTGGATAATTGAACATTTTAATTTTTTAGCTGTAACAGTTGTTTCTGAATATAATATAATATATATCGCAATAAGGAAGGACCAAGCTTTTTACGACCTTGATTCTACTTTTTGCACTTACAGTCATCGTAACTCCGCTCTAACAATGGAACGCTTTGCCAGAAAGATTCAGTGACCCCGTAGACGACTAAGAATACCAAAGAACTTAAGAAGGAACGAGCCATAGATTAACGCATTGTTGATATATGACGAGTAAGCTGGTGAATTCACGCACAAACGTTGTCGCAGGTGGCACGCATTAATTTTTTGCATAAAATAGCCGGTGGTGCGACTTAAAATAAAGAAACCTTTGTATAAACTAGTCGATGGTACGCCGCAAAATAAAATGAAATTTTTGCATAAATTCGCCGGTGGTACGGCACGAAATAAAATACAATTTTTGCATAATCTACAGCCGGTGTTACGCTGCAGGATAAAATAAAATTTTTGCATAAAATAGCCGCTGATATGTCTGAAAATGAAATAAAATTTTGCATAAAATAGTCGGTAGTGCGTCTCAAAATAAAATATAAATTTCGCGTAAGCTAGACCGGTGGTAGGTCGCAAAATGAAATATATATTTTTTGCATAGTAGTAGCCGATCGACGATGTGTTAAAAATCGAAGATTTAGATATAGGTTGTATCGTTGATGGCGGTGTTGTGGCGATGAAATCAGGCGAGGCGAAGCGACACAGCGGCCGCGTGCCTAGATCAACTCGCGCGCGCTCTCATGTTTATCCCAATGTCAGCCGTCGCGAGTATTTTTAGCGCAACCCGTTACAGTTGACCGCGACGAGTCGACGCTTCGTCACGGTTCTTCCAGCGACGATACGTAGCGTCGCGTCGCGTCGCGTCGCGTAGCGTCATGTCGCGTCGTGGCCACACGTCTGCATACACGTGAACCGACACGCTACTTTGCCACGCGACCCAGTATTGACTCCTTGTTATTCCATTAGCTCGATTTAGAACATTCTTATGGTGCGTATCTAGATCGAGCGTACGAATGCTCACTCTTTCTCCGTTTTAGTATAATTTGGTAAAATGAAAGTACGAACGAGCGTTCGTTCTCCGCTTAGCGTAGAATGTTGGAGCAAAAATGCTCCAAAAACTCTTGTTTTAGGGACTCGGTCCACCTTTTACGAAAGTTCACTCACGTTCACCGCGAAGGCGTAGAGAATAAACAGACGATTAACAAATTCTATTTGTCTTATAATGGAATATTTAAAGGTACGTTATCTGCTCTTTAAAGCGCTATAAATACATATAGAGTGGCTTTTAAACCGTCGAGTAATAATTAGAAAATAAAGTTGAATTTGGTATAAATTCCCTATTTATAATAAATGCTGGATATTGTAATATTTGTATCGTAATTATTTATTTTATCGTGAAACTGGATTGAAATTGAACCTGGTTTTACATAGTTTGCGAACACGAAACAAAACTATTATAAAACTAAACTTGCACGTAATTACGATAGCATATAGGCGTATTCTTTGATTATCCGTCCTCTTTATCTCTTGATACTTCACCTTTATAAAAACATTCTTCCTGTTACACTTCAATCACGCGTTTATTTATTCCGCCGTTTATTACCTATTTATTCCCTCTCGTTTGTACTTATTATTTCCCAATAATTGCATTCTTCTTGTCTTCCCTTTCCCTCTCTGTTTGTGTTTTTCCTCTTTTTTCCATGCTCGCCATCGTACGAGAATCCGTATCCTCTAAAACGCACGAATCGTTGAAACTAAGATTTCATACTTGGAGTCCATCTTCTCTCCTTATCACCAAGTCTCGTTTCGATCGATCACCGATACCATTCGTAAGCTAAGCTTCGATCGATATCGCATTTTCGATTACTGTGATCGATATCACGAAGAAAGAGCAGATTAGCGGGTACGCTGAAGCAAACTGAAAAGAAAGATTTCAGTTTGTTATCGCCAGCTATACTTGGAGTGATTCACTGAATAATTTGAATAACTTTGGCGTTCAAGTTGGTCCGGTTTGTCGGATCGTAGAGAAAGAGACTGAGAGAAGGGGAGGCAACGGATATCAACGATCTAGTCAGGTTGCTCGACCTTGCCTCCGGAGGCGAGTTTCGTTTCCCTCTCTGGTCGAGATTTAATGAATCGTAATCGGTGCAGTTGCCACGGCTCAGGGTCGCCGGTGTTCTTCGTCACCCTTTCCTCGATCGTCGGTCGGCTTAGTGTTTTCTGTCTTGATCCAAGGGAACAAAGAAGAATCGGTGGACGCTTCGAAAACGAAATGGAATATTTCTCTACGCAGCTGGCGAATTCACGTCGAATTTCATCAGAATGTAGAGAAAACTGTACAGTGGCTAGAAAAAACATTGGCGAGTTTTTATCAGGCGCTACATTTCATTCTTATAAAATGAAATTTTTATAGTTATTGATATCCTTGGATCTGATTAATCTGTACGAACGCAACCACGTGCGTATTACTTTGTCGCAGCCGTTGTATCGTCGATTTGAATATGCCGAAGATACGCTCGTCGAGTCTGTAAACGAGCCGAGTGTTTAAAAGATGCAAAACGTTGTCTAAAAATATCCACTCTATAATTGATATCTTATTTTGTTATTAATGTTATATATTGAAATACACTGTCCAAGTTAATAACTGAAATTCGACGGAAACGTCTAAAACCACTTTGCTCTTTCGTTCTTAAAGTCGGTAGATTAGATACGTGTGATTGGAGCTTCGCTCTACGAACGCAATTCCAAGAAACAACGAAGATAACAGCGATCACGGTACAAGCTAAAATTCCCTATTACGATGCAAAGAAGCTGTAACGTCTATTTCGATCGATCCTTCCACGATAATTCTCTCTTCGTCGTATCTGATCGAATCACGTACATCTTTTTCTGTTGCAGTGTGCCAAAGCATAGACATAAGAAACAGCGTGCGTTATTTCTCAAGACTGAAGGGATGCCGACTAGTCGAAGGCTTCGTACAAATTTTGCTGATCGACAACGCCGAGCCGTCGGAGTATGCCAATATCTCTTTCCCGGAACTGAAAGAGATCACCGGATACCTGCTTCTCTATAGGTAATCGTTGGTAGTTCACTTTCAAATAAACGTTAGGTGGAAAAAATATAACGACTGTCTGCTGGGGTATTACGCATCCTCAATTTGTCGAACGATTTAAATTCTCTGTCGTTATTACCGAGTCGAGTAGTTTAGATTAGTTTGCTCATTCACGTTTTCTTTGGGGAGCACGTCGTGCAGAGTGAGAAACGACATTTCTACGAGATTTTCCATCTGCAAAAGTATTACGAAACGATAACAGTGGTTTCTGAAATTCAAGTAATAAAATAAATCGTAGATTAGAAGGAAACGATACGACAGGTTTAGTTTTATCGATTTCCTGATCTTACTGCCATTTATCGACTAAAAAGAAGTATTTTAATATGAAATACTCGAAGAAGATGGAATAATCTAATATGTAGATAGAACTAGCGATATTAATGTTTTCTAAATGTTGGAGACGGCGAGGAAAAGACGTATTTGATTGCAAAATCAAGCAAAAAAGATAGTTTGACATGGAATCGGTCGATAACGTATTATCAAGAACAGAGGTAAAAGATATGAAATGTTCATTTTTATCGGTTTGTTACTTTTTAATATCGCTCGGAGGCTAACATAGTTGGAAAGGAAATAATTTGTTAGATTCGATTCGAAGATACGTCTCGTAGAATTAATTGCAATCGTTTCTGAAATGTTCGATAAGGTGCAAAATTATGTACATATTTAATCTCACGGTGGAATAAAAAGACGATCTATGCAAATTTCAATTAACATAGAACGGATTACTATGGAAATGACTAAAAATTGCTTATCACGTTCCTTCTTGCACGTGATCCTCGCATTGAATTTTAAAACTTTGCTTCTACGACAGAGGAAAATACGACATATCGTGCCTCTCTTCAACGTCTTTTAAGTCGAATCGAACGTACAAAAATTTTTCCTTCCACAAAAGTAACGCTCTTTCACTCTGTTCTTTACACTCGTAAGGGACAAAAAAAAAACTTTCCATGAACCGTACGAGATGGTCGAACGACGAGTCATTGGCAAATACACAAAGGAATTAAGTGACAGAGCCAACGGGAGCGTCGCGTCGCTGCAAAGTAGAAAACCGGCGCGGTTTATCTGTCTCTACGGCTTCCTCTATCGTCGAGGGCCACTAAACTTCGTTGTACGTTGTTATTATCTCGCCGGTTCCTTCTTCAGCTTCCTCCTTCCTCGTTGGTTGCCCCTTTCTGGCCACTTTTTGCACAAGCATCGAAAAGTACCGTAAACGGCCAGAACATCGGCAGGTATAAGTTTGTATCGAGACTTTTATACTTTCTATGAAACGTTCGAGAGTGGGACAAAGGTCGTGCAACGAGGTAGACGCGAAGCAGCAAAATAACTGTGGAAAATATTTCACGTTTCGAAGAAATTTATAATCTTAAAGAAGAAAACGCCTGTGAATAATAGTATTAATATCGCGAAGGATAATATTTCTTCGAATATCCGCGAAATATATTTTTGCGAGTAGGGAAGAGAGAAAGGAACGGTCGATGAATTCCAGTGTACGATAACTAGATTGCGGATGTTCATGCGTTTACGAGAAATTTAAATGCGCGAAGATATACAGGAGGCGCGTAATATGAATATAATAAATGTAAAATACATTCGCATCTGTCTTTTCTTCTCTCTTACCTCTATTCTTTTGTGTACATGCTATAGGGTAAAAGGGCTGCGAAGTATCGGTCGCCTGTTCCCTAACCTGACCGTGATTCGAGGCCATTCTCTGTTTATAAATTACGCCCTTGTCGCGTTCGAGATGATGAACCTGCAGGAGATCGGGCTGCATAGTCTAACTACCATCGTAAGGGGTTCCGTTCGTTTCGAGAAGAATCCCGCGCTTTGTTACGTGGACACTATCGACTGGGACCTGATTGCTAAGGCTGGCAAAGGAGAACACGTGATCGCGGTAAGTTATCAAATCAAATAATTGTCAAATCTCATAGAAAGTTCTTGTAGAGATCAAAGATTGTTACGCGATTATTAAAATTTGTTATACGCGACGTTTTACGATTTCGCAATGTCCTACGACCGTTTAGGAAATAATTTTTTTTTTTTTTAAAGAAGAAGCTACTAATAGGAGTTGATCGAGTTTTTCGCGATACTTCGAATTTTCCATTCACTTCGGACATGCGGATTTCATCGGCGGCAGAGAAATTCATTTAATCGGCCATTGACTAAAATTTCGTTGAAGTAAATGGAACACCGGAACTCCATCGTACTTGAAAGACGCGATCGCAAAAGTGTTGATTAATGCGCACTGTGTGAGAGGAATTCGCTGCATAGATGGAAAGCGTACAATTCAGACACCGAAATTCCATCTTCTATGGCAAGAAATCGCAATAGCGAGTAACGGCGGCGCCTTCTGGCATGTGGGCCAAGTCTTGGCGGAAATTTGACGATCCTGTGGAGAGTAGCAGGAGCATTATCCGGACGTGATGCAACGAACCGTTTCCTTGGCATCTCTCGACATCGGTATAACAATTCTATTGCCCGCTAATAAATAGCCGTCAAAATGAAACGTTATTTAACATCTTCGCATGTCGTTGACTTTGAAAATCACGCTCGTTCGTTTCGTATCGTCTAGCGCGACGCTTCTTGACGCTTTTTCCACTCGCGATTCCGGGCAAACTTTTTTCGCCAATAATTTTACGCAAGCCCAACTATATACGCAAAAAGGCATACGAGAGAAATATTTATTTGTTTATGTTTGATATAACAGATCGACATACGGGGCAGAAAAGCCAAAAATAAAGAAGAGATGAAAAGAAATAGAAAATGCAGAAACAAAGAGAAAGACTAAAAATAGATACGAAGGAGCAATGAGAAAAGTTATATTATGACACTGGCATAGAAAACGCTCGGGAGAATGTCGAGAAGGATACTGTACATTGACCGAGAAGATGCGATGTGGCAAGAGGATTCCTGCGATTGACCATACGCGATTTATGCAATTACATTGTAACAATCGTAGAACGTGCGATGTTGTTGCGTATGAAACAACAGGTGACTTCTGAAGCTTCTTCGTGGTACATTGAGAAATAGCAGCTGCATGATATCCGGACAGTCGACAATCGCCTTTAACTATTTTACTAATAAAGATCGTATCAGATATTATCCTTCTCTTGCTCGGTATCGGAAGATATAAACTATCAAAGATACTGACGTAACTGTGAAAATCAAACGTCATCGAACGTTGCTATATTTGGTAGTCAGCCTTCAAAATTTCTGTTGAACTCTCGACATTATGGCTGCAAGACGTACAATACGGAGATCATGTTACACCATCGTACCCTAAAATTGGTTCGACAAGGTGACAGTACGATGTTCTATGAGCGTTTGTATTTTTAAGAGACTTGCAGGATCCGTGAATAAGTCCTAAAGAATCAAGACGAGGTTATAAATCAAGATGAGAAAATAATACTTGGATCTTTCACATTATCAAGCGTGGATAATGGCGTACGATTTATGAAACAATTAAACGCTAGGTTATTTCTCCAATGATTAAAACGCGCAATACGACACTCGGATAAGTTGAGAGATAATTTATTAGCTAAACGCCAGTTACGTAGGCGATCGAGATCGACCTGAATCAACTGGATAGAGTCTGACAAACATCTATTCCGTTAAAGATCCTGAGATCGTTAGATATTTTCATCGTTAGATGTATCATTAACCCTTTGCATTGCGAATTTTATTTCAATTTCGTTACCAGTAGCTCCCAACGCTTTCAAGTGTTTTATTTGAAATTTACTTTGACTAAAATATAAGACAATTATAAATAAAGGAAGGAATAATTACAAAAATAAATAAAGGAAGAAAGGAATTCACTTAAATGCCAGTTTTATTCACTCTGTCGTTGTATTTTGTATTTTTTAAGCGTATGATATATCTTGAAACAATCTCCAGGATGCAATCCTGGTTTTCTTTCGCACGTTTTCACAAAAAGCCTGGTTTTCTTTCACAAAGAAAGGCGGGATTGAAAGAATGTCGAGTGTGACTCGACAAAGGAGCTTCTGAGATAAAAACTGATGAAGATAGGAGTGCAAAGAGTCAATAAATAAAATAAAAGGCGATAGATCCGAGCGAGGGTCCTGAGAAACTCTGGATGTACTTTGAGTTTCTCTAAAATAGATATTCGCCAAGTTGATAATTTGGATTTTGTCAGACAAAGAATAAGTAGAGTACGGAATAATTTATGAAGTCGATAGCTTTGTTAAAGTCAGTGTATACGTCATCAACTTGGAAGCCCTTCTCAATGCAATCCACTAGGTAGCGATGGTACTCAATCAGATTAGTTAAAGTGGATCGGCCAGTAACAAAACCGCGTTGCTCGTTAATTATTACATCTTTGTAAATAAACGATAGCTCTTTGGTTATTAAGTCTTGAAGAATCTTCGTCGTTCCGTATATAGTTGGAGCTATAATCAGAGAAGTTTAATTTTAAACGATTCTCAGTTATATTTACAATTTTATCACCAAAGCTAAATTTACATTTTGCTGAGATAAATCTGCTGTCTTGTCGTTACATAAGCAATTTAATCTCGGCTGAATATTTGATATAAGTGACAGAACATCTTGATCGTTTTTCGTAGACGCGTAGTCTAAAATCTGACAAGTACGTTTAAGAGATTTTTAGGAATTGTCGGTAATTCTATCCTAGTTCCAAGCAAAAGTTTATTTTTTAGAAGGTCGATGTTTTGTATCTATGTCGACTGATAACTGGACGAATTCTTTTTTATCGTTTGTTGACGAATGACTGACATTTTTCATCTCACTGGTGTGTAAACAGCTGCAAACATTTTCACAGCCCCATAATTCTGTTACGCAAACCTGTGCGATCGCGGCTCCTTTAAAAAAAAAAAAAAATAATCCTGGTCTACGATATCGTTTTCGATTCTATTCTACGAAAAATATATAGCAAAATCAGAGTGCATTGTCCCTGAAAAATATCAGCAAAATTGTTCAAGAGTACAAAAGATGAAATTTAAATGGACTTTTTCAAAAAAAGTTCGGTTCGGACCGTGTTAGATTAACTTTATCGGGAGAAACTGTTTTTTGGCTTTGGTTATTTCGGCAATAATTAATAATTTTCCTAGGTTTCTGCGAGAAAGATCGTAATGCGCTAAAATGAGTAGCAATTTTGCAGGAAACAAATGCATCTTTAATAATCAACCTGGGAAACAAATTAAATCGTCATTCAAGTTTGCTAATCTCTCCAGCATAACCGTTTCCTTGTTTACGGATCTCCTATTTTTTAACACATCTTATCGCTCCTGTTAGAAATAAATTCATATTTATATCGTACTGGTATTTGCAAGAACGACAGTCGATCTAATTGGAATTAATTTATTAGCTCTTTGTTCCACAGTTACGGAAATTTTCTGTTACCTTTCTTAACGAATGACTCGCTTAAAACAGCGATCATTTGTCAGAGTACAATGTTGCATATACGCACCATGAAATCTGAAAGAGTTGAATTAGATCACGTAAAAACAGAATTGCAGTTTCTCTAACCACGTTAGATCGAAGTCGTATAAAAACGGAATCGAGCGTGTACGGTTGTTCTATTTTCAAGATTGTGTCACGGAACACGGCCCCATTACTCTATAAACCAATCGGACTTTGCATCGCTTCCGCTAGCCAACTTTCCGGCCACGAACGGTATACATTGCACGGAGCAAGTTTCGCGATTCGAACGCGTCGACGACAATCTTTCGCGCGGCGCACCACCGATTGCTTTCGGGTGAACGGTTCCCACGACGATTTTGCCCGATGCAGGGCAATAATATCCCACGGTTCCAGCGTAAATCAAAGAATCGCACTGCTGGCACAGTTCGCGATGAACTATTTCTGTCGTAGATCGACCGACTGTCCTCGCTGCTGGCGGGATAATAATATCGTCACGCCGTCCACGAAGAGGTGAACCGAGTCGTTTTGGTGCGCCACGGCCGATCCAGCCCTCCGCGGAAACCGGTTCCCGAACCGGTTACAATTTCAAAACGATCAGACGTTCTTGAAATAAACGTTAACCCTCCGAGGCTATACCTTTCAGCAGCTGAATCGAGTCGAAATGACCCAGAATATACGTACATCTACAGATTAAGACGTATGCTATCGCTTAGAAATACCAGCACATTTGTTTATGTCCGACAAGCTGTACTTTAAGCGTGAAGTCGCCGGTAACTTGTACTGCAATGATTTGATTCGTTACAATTAAATTCCCGATTTTGATATTATAATCGTGGAAAATTGAAGGGCTCGAAAATGCACAGAGAACGTATGTAATATGCAGAAATAAACGTGAAATGTGTAAAGTATGTGGCAATCTTCGTAATACCAATACCAATACTGTCGAACGTTGTGATCTTTATTTCGATAGAACAAAATCGATCATACGTAATTCGATAAAATGATATAAAACGAAAAATATCGTACATCTATTTTCTTATAAAACGAAAGAAACAGGAAATTGGTTCAATAGCCATTTTATGCCTGCAACGACTACAACGAAAGAAAGTAGACTCCAGTAGCAAATTTATTAAACACGTACGTAATAGCATTGGACTAGAGCCGAGTATAGCACTGTAAAACAAGAGTAGAACAAGATGAAATCGAAGATACGCGGTAGCTATATTACACCAGTGAGCATCGGATCAAAACGATCCAGATCCAGTGTCCGATAGTTAAAGATTGATTCGCGAAAGCATGTGTGCCATAGCGTTCGACTATGCTCAAATATAGGCGTTGTAAAGATGAGGATAACAAGAATGAAATGCAAGATATGCGGCAGCTATATTACAGCAGCGAAGATCGGATCAAAACGATCGAGATCCAGTATCCGAGAGTTAAAGGCTGACTCGTGAAAGCACACCGTCAGTTCGATGGATCGGCGTATTTGAAAGGCTC